CAAGCATTGATCTCGCCCCCCCCACACACACACATCTAAACACCCACACACACACACAAACGCAAAAATCTTTTTACCATTCAATCACCGAGTCCTACTAAAACGGTCTAAGTCAGACTTGAACAAAAATGAAAGAGTAAAATAAAAAGGAAAGAAAAGGAGTAGAGATCAGGAAGACAGAGATGTATATGACAGGGAAGAAGAAGAAAACCACATCAGATCACTTACCAACCACCAACTTGATGACATGTGAAGAAAAAAACAAAAAAACAAAAAAAAACAAAAAACACAGCAAAACCAAAAACAAAGCAATAGACCTTTGAGGAAATAAGTTTTTAGCTTTATTCGTATTTATACATTTGTATGTACATCATCACAGACCAGTTGAGATCTCCTTCCCTTTGTCATGAGATTTAAAAAATGACTCAGATGAGAACAAAATTAAAGCATTGTTGCGATTATCGATGACTCATGCACCTCGACATTAGACAGTAAAGCATTATCTACCATAGATACAAATTGTTCAATGTTGAATTCATATCCAAAAAAATGACAAAGCATGCAATAACAATATTTCAGAAACTAAAACAAGAAGCTGCTAAAATATATTGTTAGATAGCAAAAAGCAAATATTTATGTTTTTAAAAGTTTATGTGTTTCCAATAAAAGCTATAAGCAGTTGTAAAAAAAATCTATAATCTTCTCCAAAACTTATAGAAGTTGACCTCTTACTATACTGAAGTAAAAAATGAATGCCGTAATCATAAACTCTGACTTCACAACAGAAGAAATTTTAATTTTCGTACCTGGGGGTTCTAATTATTGTTATAGGGAAATAGCAATATCCATAGTAAGATGTACAACACTCACTCACCGGCATTCATTTTTATTTTTACTGACAAATAAAACTGAGATAAAAAATATAAAACTAAACTCATTTAAACTGGAACATAAGTTACAATTACGCACAAAATCATTGTTGAAACAGTTGATAAATAAACTAGATCTACTCTGCAAGCATTTTTTCACAGGCAGAAAGTCTCATTCTGACAAAACCTCTCGATTCTCTGCGCAGATACACACAAGTGTCAATCCCTTCACATTGATGATTTGTTAACATTTCATCGTCTCGCAACTATTTGTCCAAAGTGTACTTGACCCTATCCATACGTCGTGTTTTACTATCGTATCCATACGACGTGGGGAACTCTGTGCCACCGCCTTCCAAAGAGGAAATTTACTCGTTAATCCGATCTGTACGCTTTGCATAGCAGGCTGTCAAAATGGTTTTTTTGAGAAATACTGAAAGTTTCAAAGAGATCTTCGTACTAGAAGTATTCTAAAATGTGAAGAGTACAACCCAAGGGGGTACAAAATGACCCCAGGGCGTACGGATAGGGTTAAATAAAGAGACACTTTGGACAAAATAGTTCAGAGGGGATGATTTGTAAACATTTGTAAGCATTCGTAAACAATTCCAAACATTTGTAAACTCGTAAACAATTCCAAACATTTGTAAACATCCTTAAAAACTCAATCATGAGAGATAAACCCATCACCAGGTGTTAGAAACTTCAGTATCTATCTACCAAACCCACAGGAAAATGATCCACGCAGACTGTCGCAGACTGCTATCACCAGGAACAAATCATTGCCCGCAAACATATTGACAAATTAAAGAGGCATTCAACAAATTGGTCTGTGTACAGGGGGAGAGGTGGGGCCTTTGGGGGAGGGAGGGAGAGGGGGATTTGGGAGGGGAGCACACAATTTGATACAATCAAACTAAATTGAAAAGAGGGAAACATTCAACAAAGGGGATGAA